GATTGCCACACACACACACACACACACACACACACACACACACACACACACACTGAAGACGAGCAGAAATGGCTGCTCGTGTTGGTGTGTGTGTCTTCTTCACACTCCTGTCAGTTCAGTGTGAACCAGCTCGGTGCACGGAGGTGGATGTGTGCACACCTGTTCTCCTGGATCACAACAAACATCAGCAGGAACGTGTTTTTAAAGTCAGCGCGTTCAGACAGGACTTCTTCCTGCACCTCACACCGGACTCTGGGTTCCTGGCAGCGGGCAGCATCCCTCCGGAGGACTCCAGCGCCCTGAGGAGATGCTTCTACTCCGGGACGGTGAACTCCGAGCCGGGCTCGTTCGCTGCGCTCAGCTTGTGCAGAGGTCTGCAGGGGTGGTTCTCCTACGAGGGCACGGAGTATTTCATCAGTCTGAGTCCTGAGGAGGCTGCAGCTGCTGAGGAAAGTGGAAACTTCTTGGACCGGACGCACATGATCCACCGCCGGAGCCGCGCTCTGCAGCGTCAGGGGGCCAACTCCAGCAGCAGGTGTGGGGTTCCTCTTGACTCCCCCCTCAGCTTCTCTCTGGACAAATACAAGCACCTGAACATGATGGGGGGTCTGACCGAAGCCGTGTTGAAGAGCTTGGGGAGGTCCAAACGGTTCGCTTCTGTACCCAGGTTCTTGGAGGTTCTGGTGGTGGCAGATGAGTCCATGTCCAGGTTTCATGGAGACGACCTAAAGCACTACCTGTTGACCCTGATGTCAGTGGCAGCGAAGCTTTACAAACACCCCAGCATTATGAACTCCATCAGCATCGTGGTGGTGGGCTTCATGGTGATCGATGAGGCCAACAAGGGTCCGAAGGTGTCCAGGAACGCTGCACTGAGTCTGCGCAACTTCTGCTCCTGGCAGAAGAAGTTAAACAAACCCAGCGACAAGCATCCTGGGTACTGGGACACCGCCATTCTCTTCACCAAACAGGTAGGAAGTGAGGCTCAAATCACTTCAACAACTCTGGATGCTTCTGGACATTCATTGTGTTGTCCGTCTCTACTTACACATATGGTTGTAAAATCACAGTCAGTTTCATAATACAGGGAAATTATCTGAAGTAATGAGAAACCTGACATTTGGATTGATGAAACTGGCCCTTCATATGGGTAGTGTGGAAAATATACTGTTTCATAATCAGTGGTGAGACAGACATTTTTCTCAGGGGTGACCAGACTGGGACCACTACTCACACAGGGGTGACCAGACTGGGACCACTACTCACACAGGGGTGACCAGACTGGGACCACTACTCACACAGTGGTGACCAGACTGGGACCAGTACTCACACAGGGGTGACCAGTAACATTACATAACATTTTACCTGAAAGTTTCTGCAGTTATTAGTGTTTCAGTCATTTCCTCATGTCCTCATACAGGCAGTGACTACCTTGTAATCATGGAGTCAGAACCATTTTAAAAGGTGGGGACACACTGTTGGGGGGTCTGAGGGTCCTCCGCCAGAAAACTTTGAACAAAATAGATGCCATTTCCTGCATTCTGGTGTATTTTACCAGGTTGTTTAACATACTTTTACCTACATGAATAAACACTTGATTTAATAATTATTTCAGAGACAGATTCTTCATTAAACTACTTCCATCATCCTGTTTTTAATCTCACTGCTACAGCTGAGATAAGATTAATTAATGTGACACAATTTATCACATCCAATGATTTTACGGGTGCTTTTTACTTTTATATTGTTTATTATTGATTTATTTTTAATTGTACCACATCATTGTGCCACATAATTATGACCTTCAATTGCATGTTTAAAACTAACATTAATAACTTTACCCAATGAACAGGTGCAATACTGATAACCACCAACAGTGAATTTAGAGGAGTGTTTCACTTTTTCTGATTTAGTCATACGCTTACTCATAACTAAAAGGGGCAGGGTATCATGCAGCCTTCAGAACATAAAATGACACTGTGTGTTATGATGACAAAAAAACATTTGTCACCATGTCAGATTACATAGGCGTATGTTCTGTTTATAAAGAAAACCATCACTTCTTTGTTACTTCTTTGAGCTTAGTCAAGGTTCAAACTGTTAAACACTGTGTAGGGGTCACCTTGAGTGAAGAAACAAGATTTACTGCCTCGAAGCAGGCCTCGGACAGGCCTGACGAGACGACAGGAACTCTGTCACAAACTGAACTCTATTTAGGCCATGACAGGTCATTCTAACCGTGGAAGAGAACCTCTCAGTTCTCTTAATCAGATAATGGACAGAACAATCTCTTCTGTTCGTGATTCATTTGTCGTTTAACTAAGAATGTTTATGCATTTGTTAAATCATGATAATGACTGTCACAAGAAAGTGGAACCACTTCTTTTCTTTTATCGTGCCTTAAAGATTTATAACGGTATAAAAAATCACAGAGAAAATGACCACCATGTTTTCATTGTGTTTTTATATAAATCACTGTTTTTATTTTACTGGGAACATAGTAATATAATTGTGGATTTTTCTTGAGAAAATCTTACATTTATCTGGACTTAAGGAATGGTTCAGACTGATTATAAATCAGAAATGTTAATTAATCATCATAAATGTTTTGCAGTGATTTCTCTTAGAATATATCTGGAGAAAAGCTAAAGAAATGTTATCATATTCTGTTGTTGGACAACCACAGAATTTAACCTTGGCTGGCGCCTGGCTGGCAAGTCTTTATCTTTCTTCCTTTTTCTGACTCATCTTAACGCTTGAGGGCGGAACCATAGTCATCCGCTTCTATTACTAACATGGACGCCTTTGAGTGACACACACTTCTTCCTGGATGCCAAACTTGGAAGGAADGCTGAGTTTCTCTCCGGAGAAGCCAGTTTGGCTCGTTAGGTCTTGCCCATGAGCCAACTAGGGAAGATCTAACGGCCAGGACTCGACACGCCAGCCGGATGTCCCACCCGAGGCTTCTCACCTCCAAAGTGTGTTTTAACTCCCGAGGAGAGATTTTATTTTGAAAGGAGGCACCGGATGTACAGCTTGAATCTTTCTGGCTTGGACTGAAACAGATGAAAAGTTACCTAAAATAACACCTTTCTCTCCAAGGAACAGTGAGCGAGTCGATTAAAAAGTTCCCTGACTGATCGGAGGTGAGACAGTGACTACCCACGGGTTGCTTGAGAAGCATCACCAGGTAAAACTGACGTGTTCAGGGTGACGTGTCATGTGGAAACTGAGTGCAGAAGGGACGTGCTGATCCGGGTGGACACACTCTTGATAAAGTAACATTGGTAATAATACTAACATTACTTTCCTCCTTTTCTTTGTCTTTATTTGCCAAAACTTAAGCTGAAAGTGCCAGTGAAATTGTTTGGTTGTAACATCAGAACTGACGTTTTACTGTTCTATATAAGTAATCTGAGTTTAATTTGAATTAAAATTCGGACGCGAGTTTTATCTCATTTAACTTTGAAGCTTGTTGTAGGAATAACCACAATTAGGTGCAACTTATGATCTGGTCAATTTGTGTAAATAAATGATTGCATAGTCTTTATGAATCAACTTGAACTCGTCTGAACGTTCACTTATTGTGTCACTTTTCACTTCACACAGTCAACATATTAACAAGTAATGAGAAAATACCTTGGTAAAACTTTCCTCATAACCTTGTGTATGAGAGATGTAGGAAAAGCTTAATTCACCCTAAGCCTCTCTCCTACCACTGCCACCAAGTGTTCAGGAGGATTATTACACCCCTAAAGGTTGTTTCACTGTGTAAGGGGTGTGTACAGCAGGGTGGCCAAACATTTGTCTGTGGTGGCCATGACCATCTTTGGCCACCCCCTGGCTCCGCCCCTGTTCATAATCTGGACAAAAACAACCAGATTTCATTGCTGCAATAAGAGGGATCAGCCTGGACACAGGGACAGCTGGAAATAATAACTTGTAAATGATGAATTGATGATGAATTAAGTTTTTTTTGTATAAAATTACAAAAGCCAAAAATAAAGATCTAACGACACGTATAGTTCCAAGTTATATATGAAAATGGACATGTTCTGGTCAAAAATAGGTTATAATTAACTGTCAGAGAAGAGAAGTGAACCAAGCAAAGAAATCAAAATCCAAATGAAAATATAAAAAACAACAATCCACCTTTACAAGATGCATTCTCAAATCTTTTCAGTGTTTGTAGGTGTCGACCATCAACACGTCAACACACTTGACAAGTTGTAGACCGACACTCCAGCAAGTTGACTGAGATGAACTGTCAGACACTCACTGGAGAGGAAAAGTCTGAGTGGTCTACATTTATGATCAGAGTGGGTTTTTTACACATTTGTCTTGAAATGAAATTTAACTTCACACAACTGGTCACGTTACATGATAAACCTTTTTTTACTTTATTTTGTAGCAAATTACACAAAATATACTTGGTCCATGCCTAAAATTTCTCACAGTTTTGTAAACGTCTAAGTCCAAAACGAAATGATGTTCTTCACATGTAACACAGTTAGGTCCAGATCAAGGAGTTTATATAGAAGAGCTGGAGAGGCAGAACTCCAGCTTCAGGTGAAGTTCACCTGAAACTCATCAGACTGAAGAAGTCTCTTGGAGGAGAGACGAAACGTTTCACTAAAGAAGAACCATCCAGAGGACCTACTGATTTTTATTTTGGAATTGTCCAATTCCTTTTGGTCCCTTTAAAAACAGGGCAGCACGTTTAGGAGCTGAAACTCCTGAAGCCTTCATCCAGTTTTAATGTGGAGACCCTCAAATGAGAGCTGAATGTCTGGACTTTATGTCCATGAACATTACAGAACTATAAGCTGAATATGTCTCAGTAAACAGGTAAAAAGACTAAATGTGTGTCATATGGACCTAACTGTACTGGTCTGTGTGTGCAGGATCTGTGTGGGGCCACGACCTGTGACACACTGGGGATGGCAGATGTTGGGACCGTGTGTGACCCAAAGAGAAGCTGCTCTGTTATTGAAGATGATGGTTTACCCTCTGCTTTTACAGCTGCTCATGAACTTGGTAAGACAGCTGTTCATGAGGACTGGAAACTGACTTTGTGCATTTCAGAAGGTGAGGTTAGCTCGAAACAAAGGGCTGAGAAGAACTGCAGATGAAAAAAAGGGTTGAATGTATTTTACAGATGTATTGAACTGATATATTTCTGCTCAATCACAGAGGAAACTGTCTTTGAAAGCTTTTCAACTTTTAAAACCAACAGTGGGACTGTGATTCTAAAACCAGAGTTCAAAGATCCTACATTTATTCTTTCCAGTCACTTCATGTTGCAGTTATAATGTGTGTTTTTAAGACTAAATGTGAGTCAAATCAAAGCCAGTCTGTTTGGGTCCCTCAGAGCTGGGCTGGGATCTGTTCAACATTTTATATTTGGTATGACAGCAGAAACTGGCAGGTAAACAAACTCTTTAAACCCATTCCTGTGATTGGACCTGAGCTCATCTTCAACAGTTGGACTGTTGGTAATGATTTATACCAAAAACTAAATGACTGAGCTGCACAGAGAAGATGCATAAAACAATCTGAATTACTAACAGCTGCTCTTATTCAGGACTTCCTGCTGGAGATTCAGGTCCTGAACATTTACAAACCAACAGATTCACATTGTGACTTATGTTGCTTTGTGTTTCTGACAGTGGTAGATACAGTCATTTTACCTGAGTCGACCCTTTCCTGTCTGCTGTCTATTTGCTCCAAATGTTTTTAAAGTCTGAGTCTCATACTTTTCATTTTCAGACTCATGAAAAAAAAATACTGTAAAAACTAACCATAAACTGTTTCAAATACAAACAATGGGCCTCATGCAAGAACATGTTCATATTCTTCTCCTAAATTTCTCTTACTTTTGTTCGTACAAAGGGTTCGTACGAACATGTCACGTCAGATTCAACAAANAGCTGCGTAAATTCACCTGTTCTATCCAGCTGCTCGTGCACGAGAGAGGAGATTAGCATAATTACCACCCCAAAAACACCATATAAGGCTGTGTTTCCTGCCTCAGATACCAGGAAGTGTCCATTCATAAATAACATCGCAAAGTAATAAGGACTTTACGAGTTCACAGATTGAAGTTCTGCTCTCAGGGATCCAGAAAAACAAATTTGTCCTTTTTAGCAGCGTCAGCTGTGGAATTAAAGGAGCTGCTAAAGCCGAGGAATGAAATAACTACTGCTGTTACTGCTGTGTCTCCTGTGGGTCGTTACAGTCACAGAAATATAAATTTAAATCATATTCATCTCTCTAGTCCTGCTCCGGTTTACTGTGGTCAAATATTTTTTAATTTAAGTGTAAAACAGCAGTGTTACATAGTTTTCATTTATTCAGCAGATGAGCAGTCACACCCCCTCCCCCTACAAGTTGTGTCAGATGTGGTTCTGAAAAGATGCATTTAAAAACGTTTCCAAACTTCAATTAATGTATAATTTAAGTTGTTTTTTAGTTTCAGATTTTCATATTAATATTGTAGTGTTATTGTCATGGACTAATTATTTATATCTGTTTCACCTTGACACTGTCCATCACTCGTATCTTTCTGAAAGCTCATTTCGGCTCGTAGTCTGTTTGTTTCCGGACGTCAGGACTCCACAACGGACTGAACTCTCTTGGTTGATAACAGACTCTTTGAGCTGGGAGCCCTGTCATTGGCTGGACAGTATATTTGGCAATCTGTGATTGGTTGTAAACTGTCACATGGTGTTAACATGATGTTATATTACTGGCTGTTTTCTGCTGACGAGTCAGTCACAATCATGCAGAATTTCCTGATTCAGTTCTGTTTGTTTGTCGCTCATAATTAAATCATATTTGATTATGATACACGCAGACTTTTCTGGTATTATTCCAACGCGTTTCTGCTTTTTGCGACAACAGTTATATAACAGCATTAAAAGCCAATTTAATTTAATCTAACCAGTTTATGTTGTTAGTCTACATTATTAGCTACATTTAAAAGTATAATTCCAGTTCAAACAGAACAACCTATTGTCAACATAATTATGGAGTGTGATTTATTTTCAACTCTAAATATCAGGACAGACTGTAGCAGATGTAGCTTAGAACAGTGGTTCTAATCTTTTCAGACTTGTGTACCCCTGAGCCATTTAGTCACACCACTAGTACCCCTTCTGTCAATCATAATGATGATTCTCCAAAACTATAATGTACAACAACTGATTTATTAAATGAAAATTATTTAATGTTCTAGAACGTTTAATTCTCAGGCATTTTCTTCTTCATAACTCAAATTAAACATAAAGATAAAAATATTGCCTTGAAAGTGAACAAGCAATTAAATAAATAAACCAGGTAATGGCAGGTGCAGGGAACAGCAGCGTCCAAAATACATCAGAAACTCACCTGAAATAATCTAATTTTTTTTTCAATTTTATGTCAGTTCCTTGTAAGTATGTACGTGTAAGTGTGTGTTTCAGTTCCTTCACTCAGTCTGCATTTTCCACTTTGCAGAAATCATAGGGCCCTACATATCCCAGTCCTATTTTTATTTATTTATTTATTTATTTATTTTTACACACCTGGGACATTTTTCCATGTACCCTCTGTAATATGCTCATGTACCCCAAGGGGTCCATGTCCCCCTGGTTGGGAGTCACTGGCCTACAATGAAGATGTTCGTGGCTTAAACAAGTAGTCTAATCATTAATGGCTTTTTAAAGTGTTCATTACTTTTTACTCAAGTAAAAGTATGAAAGTACTGGTTTTAAAACTAAAGTATAAAAGTATAAAGTATAAAAGCTTGAATTGATACTTCTATTTCCAAAAAAGTATTTTTAAACCCTAGTATTTATACGTCTACTTAAGTAATGAATGTGAATACTGTTTATGCACAACAACAAACCTCTGGAGGATCCTACAGTTTGAGGTTCATGGGACTCCAGAGGCTCCAGTAGCTTCAAAAGGCTGATCTGTAACGACATTTTAGCAGCTGCTCTCTTAATCAGATTAATTTTTCTAACAGAAACCTTCATCATTATGCCTTTATCTGCACAAACTCCTCTGTGCTCTGAATCACTGACAAATCTCTTTACAGTACCATGGTCACGCTTCAGTTTTCATACCTTTTGGTCACTGCATTATCTGGTGTTTTTGGCAGCAGAGATCCTTTCTCTTTCCCACATCACCTGAAACCGGTGGCCTGTTTAAAAATGTGGAACATCCTTCTTAAGTAGTTTTCCTTTAATTGAACTCACCTGGTAAACTAATCAGCACAGGTGTCTGAGATTAATTATAGTGATCCAATGAGCCCTGAGACACAATGCCATCCATGAGTTTAATGGAACAAAAAATAAACACTTTACAACACTTAAATCCAGTTTGCATAATAATTTGGAACACAGTATAAATAGCAAGATACAATATGGCAAAATACATTCATCAGTCATTTTTTATTTAATCTCAAGATCACCCTTCTGTAATTTCAACACATGTAGAAGGTATATAAAACCAACAAAGTTACAACATTTTGCACATTTTAACATTAAGTATGCAAAAGGCCTGTTAAAAAAGACAGGAAGCAATGTCCTAAAGAAAAAAATCTCAGGACAGGCATTGGTTTAGTCTCTCCTCACATACAAAATGACAGCAGAATAATCTAATCCCAACAACAGTTCAGTTCAGAACTAAATATGTTGGGCAAAATGAAGAGGATTTAATTCTGTTTAGGAAACAAAATGATTTCAACACAACTGATTTTTAAGGTGTATATTTTGTTTTAAAGCTTCATTTCTTCCTGCAGTCCAAGCTGAGTTTGATTTCTGTGAAATGCGGTGCCTGTAAATGAATTCTTTCTGTGCAAAAGTTCTCATATTTATTAGTCATCAATGAATCCAGCCAGCAAGGATTACTAATCAGATTATACTCAACTAGAATGAATTGCATGTTGTCCCTCCTGGCAGGTCACATCTTTAGCATGCCCCACGACAATGTGAAGGCATGTGAGGAGGTGTTTGGGAAACTAAAGGACAACCATATGATGTCACCGACACTGATTCAGGTCGACAGGAGCCAGCCCTGGTCTGTGTGCAGTGCAGCTATCATCACAGAGTTCCTGGACAGAGGTCATGGTTAGTGAAAACTCTCTGCAGATCTAACACAATACACATGAATGACTAGTTATCACACTGTGTGTGTGTGTGTGTGTGTGTGGGGGGGGGGGGGTCCATATATGATCCCCAGTGTTCTCCCATGATGCTCTGCTCTTCAGATGTCTTTTAAAACAAAGCTGAATTCACAAATACAACAGTTAGGGTGTTTCCACACTGAAGCAAAGGGCAGTGACTGTTTTCTCTGAGTTTCACAGCTAAAGCTGGGGACCTTTCTGGGTAGAGTTTGCATGTTCTCTCCGTGCATGTGTGGGTTTTCTCTGGGCACTCCGGTTTCAGAATAGCCGATGACACAACTGTTCTCTGCCTCATTTCAGATACATCACATGTAGCCAGCTACAGACAGCAGATCAAAACTTTTGTTCAGTGGTGTGAGGAACACTTTCTGACTCTTAATGTCCAAAAGACCCAGGAAATGATTTTTGACCCAAAGGCAGTTGGAGACCACTCACCAGTGGTTATCCACAATCAAGTAATTGCCCAGGTAGATTCCTACAAATATCTTGGAATACAAATAGACAACAAACTTTCGTGGACTGGTCAGGTTGAATATGTCTGCAACAGGATCCAGGATTACATTTCTTGCGCAGGTTGAGGGCCTTTGGTGTCAGTCAGAAAGTGATGCTGCTAATTCACCATGCTGTAATAGACAGCATCATTAGGTATGGCATTTCCACCTGGTTTGGTAACCTGTCTGTCCATACGAAGGCCAAACTCATCTGTCTTACACAAAAACCTATGAAGCTGATGGAAGTCAAGCAGCATCCCTCACTTCAGACCATTTTCAATGAAACAACAACCAAACAGGCCCAGAAAATCATCTCAGACACGACTCATATTCTTTATCCAGAGTACCAGTTTCTTCCTTCAGGTCAGCGTCTCAGAGTTCCCACATGTAGACTGAACCGCTATAAGAACTCATTTGTTCCACTTRCTATTAAAGCCGTAAACAGTAACAAACAGTAACCATGAATTCTGATTTTAAACAATGATGTTTATGATTTTAAATTGTACTGACATTTTCTTTTATGTACTCTCTCTCTTGAAATGTCTTATTCTAAATATGTGTTTTATGTGAGGATGTAAAGTGTCTGTGTTGTGGGTTGTTTGAACTGTGTAGCAGTCAGGTTCTGTACCCAAGACAAATATCCTTTGGGACAATAAAGTTTATCTTATCTTATCTTATCCTAGCTTTTCTTTTCTTATCTTATCTTATCTTATCTTATCTTATCTTATCTTATCTTATCTTATCTTATCTTATCTTATCTTAGCTTATCTTAACTTATCTTACAGACCAATAACTTGACTGTTAGGTTAATTGATAACCCTGCCTAGGAGAGAGTGAATGGTTGTTTGTCTCATTTGTCTCTATGTGTGTCTCTGTGATGGACTGAGACCTGTCCAGGGTGTAGCCCACCCCTCCCACTGTGACTGCTGGATATGGACACCAGTGACCCTGAAAGGAAGAAGCAGCTTTAGATGATGGATGTTTGAAATGATGTTCAGTAATGGGGACATTGCACTGGCTTCCATTAATTTATTCAGCCTAACTCTGACACCTGACTCTAAACCTAACTTCACAACTTATTCCTAAACCTGACCCCTGACCCACCAAGGCATTTCTCCTCTTGGGGACTAGGCTTAGGTCCCCATAAGTACCTGTTGGTCCCCACAGTTAAGTGTGTATGACAAAAATGGTCCCCACACAGTAGGTAATACACGCACATACTCAGACACAGGCAAAGACATTTTCACTCACCTTATACTATTCACAATAGTAAAGTGCAATAATAAGTAATTACCAGTAAAACAGCAGTAAATAACATGACCCAACTGTTAGTAATTGTGTTAGTTTGTGTGTGCAGGAGACTGTTTGTTGGACCAGCCTCAGACCCAGCTGTCTCTCCATGAGGACCTGCCTGGCTCCAGCTACAGCCTGCACCGTCAGTGTGAGCTGGCCTTCGGACCAGGCTCCAGGCCCTGCCCTTACATGCAGCCCTGTTTAAAGCTGTGGTGCACCGGGAAGGCACGGGGACAACTTGTGTGCCAAACTCGTCACTTTCCCTGGGCAGACGGCACGAGCTGTGGCAACGCCAAGGTCTGCTACAGAAGCACCTGTGTTGATAAGAACAGCACCATGCACATCAAGGTAAGACAAGAGAAGACATCCTTGTTCTTCTTTTACCTGGTTATTCTTATCACTCAATAATTACCGTATTTATTCAAGTAAAATACGTAAAATTAAATCCATAAAATCATCCATAATGTTGGGGGGTAGTACTATACTCAGATAAATATTTTAACTGAAATATCAGCTTCATTCACAAAATTGTTGAGTCCGAAAATGAGACCACGACGTAAAAAGTGGTTGAAGCAAGCTTACCACTGACACTCCTCTGTGCTTCAGAGTGAGATAATAACAGATCCATCAGGAGACATGATGTGAAAAAAGGATAAAAAGCAGTCCTGCAGCTCAGTAATGATAACAAACTAATGTCGTTAGTGTGTGACCGAGCCGCTGCTGGAACAGCAACCACGTTCGTCTGTAATGGCTACCATCTACCGGTGTTCTGAAAAAGTTTGTATCCCTGAAAAAAGTTTCCCCACCAGAGGGGGCGCTCATGAGTAGGAGGTAATAAGCTTTCCCCCACAAGATGGTCCAAATCTCATGTGAAGTGTCTGACTTTGTGTTGGCGCCTCCTGGTGGACTATGAGTAAAATGCCAGAATTCATATGATGTTGCTACAGCTGATATACAGTATATTTGTTGTCAAAATACCTTTTAGTA